TGCACCTAAGAGCACTGCTGTATCCAAGAAGACTCTTTGACTGTCCAGGGCCTGTTCTTTTAGAGAGTGTTTTTTGAATGGTATCTCTTGGTCCCTCTTGTTGGGACTTTGGTTATTTTATTTTCCTACTCATAGTGATATTTGGGACTCTCCACCTTGTGTACTCTGGCTTGTTTCTTGAGGTAGCCCTGGAAAAGCAAACAGACAGACAAACGCACAGGGAGCAGGAGCACACAAACGCACAGACCAATTCAACTAACATGCAAACCGAAAGGGAAAATGAGAAAGTTAAGAGAAAAGGTGGAGGAGGGAGGGCGAATAATAGAGAGTATGAAATACATAAAAGGGTCAAAAAGGAGAAAAGAAAAGGAAAAAAGAAAACCGATGGACAAAGAACGGTTTAAAGCATATAACTGGATTTCCCAGCTACAGTAGCCATGTGTATGCAGTGCTGGTTGAAGAGCTCAAGACAGGGCGGGGATGAGGCAAAATTGGAAATAGAATGAACAGGCAGAAGGGATAAGAACCTTTTTTCAAAGAGCTAAAGGGTGGAATAGGGTTGAATAGGTGAGAGAAGGACGCTGGTGTTATCCAGAGAAACTATATAGTCTAATTACTCCTGAGAGCAAGAGATGAAAATGTCGGTAGGTGTAGAATTTACATCTACAGAATGGACTCGTTGTGATTGTTTACGCATGCCGGTGACCAGAGTTAATCAGGCCAGTGTTCTGGGGAAAAAAGAAAGACAAGAAAAAACAAGGGGAGGAGGGCAGCTCTCAGGCAGGGATGGGCGGGGCGTGACCCAATGCCTCAGGCGGGACTTCTGCCTTGATGGTTGTGGGGAGGAGAGTGGCGGCGCTCCAGTCCCTTCTCGAACCAAGCACTGCACCTCGCTTTTTTGGGCATGGAAACTCCCCGCGCCGGGGGGCGCAGCCGAAGTTGGTTGCGCTCTTCAACCCAGGCCAGTCCCAGTCTCCAGATCCCAGCCCGCGCGCCCCGCTGAAAGTGCCTGAGACACAGCTTCCCAGGCAACCCCTTCTGGGCAATTCCAGCCCCTGCCCGGCTCTGGGGGCGGAGTCAGAATCACCCGGCTCTGGGGGCGGGGTCAGAATCACCCGGCTCTGGGGGCGGGGTCAGAATCACCCGGCTCTGGGGGCGGGGTCAGAATCACCCGGCTCTGGGGGCGGGGTCAGAACCGCTGCTTCCTGCTCCGGGTCGGGCTGGTGAGGATGGGGGGGCTTGCCTGCCGGGTGCGCCGAGCCCGCTGAGTGAGGAAAACCAGGTCCCTCTATGGCTCGTCCCCCGAGACTCGAACTCGCGGGCACATCTCCCAGTTTTTAGCTCTTTGCCTTCCCTCTCGAGTTCCAGGCAGCCAGGAGCGCGCCGCCCGGTGTCCGCGCGGGGTTCTTTCTGGGGCCCAAGCCCGGGGAGGACAGTGGCGGCAGGCGCGCCGCTGCTCTAGAAGTGCAGCCGCCGGGAGCCGCACAAAGCGGCAGTCGGCGAGCGCAGCCCCCCTGGACCAGTGGGCGCGAGGGGACCCGGCGTGCAGGTATGTGGCGCGCACGGTCTTCCTGTGCCCTGAGCGGAGGTGTTTCTGTTTCGGACTCTCTCTTTTTCCCCCTCACTCCCCGCAGAGGGGGATCGCCTCCGACCCTGGAGTCTCCGATCCCCGCCCGATTTTATCTTCCCCAGTTCGCACTCACGTTAGAAGGCTTTCTCAGTGGATTCTGCGTCCTTTTTCTCCCAATCTCTTGGGTTTCGTAAGGTTTCCGATGGCTTCAGATCTTTTCCGTGTGAGGTATGGGCGCGAGTGCAAGTACGGAGCTTCCTACTTCTCCACCATCTTGCCGGATCTCTCACACATTCATAATTTTAAAAGAGTAATTTCAAGGTACCATCTTCTCAACTAAGCTGTTCATCTCTGAAGGAATGAAAAAGACATAACCAAACTCATTTCCCATGTACTTTTTATTATGAAGCTACTTGAGGAAGCATTCTAGCAAAATTAGGACATAAAACAAGAAAGACATGATGTGACCCTAAGAAATAGGGGATCTCAGAAGAGAGATGAAAAAGGTTTCAGAATGATAGCTGTACAGAAGATTAGAGACTTTCTGTCCACATTAAAGAATGAATTCCAGGAGAAAAACCCTCCAGGAAAAAAACAGATTCAATAGAGTAATAATATTTGGTTGAACCATTTGAAATTTATATTTTTGTAGATTAAAAAAAGTTGAACTATAGCAACATGATGTGCAGTATTAATAGTAGCTACATTCACAGGGTCTTTATTTCTTGTCAAAAGCAGTTTTATGTACTGTGCGTATATTTTCTCGCTTAATCCTCACAATGGTCATGAGGTAGGTACTACTATTTTCTCTCTTTCAAGATTGAGAAAACCGGGGACAAAACAAGATTAGGTGAAGGTCAGGTTGTCCTAGGTCATCCAGCCCATGTAGCTATTAGCGCAGTGATTTCTATGCAGGCAATCTGATCTCAGAGCATAAGTTGCTTTTTTTTTTTTCCTAAAATAATGTCTCTACCCAATGTGGGGCTTGATCTCATGACCCTGAGATCAAGATTTGCATGCTCTGCCAACTGAGCCAGCCAGGTGCCCCACAGAGCACAAGTTCTTAACTGGTGTGCTATAACAGACAGGAGATTGGACGATACTTCTCTGGAATCTGGCCAGTCCAAGGGGTGAGACCTGTAACACTGACCTCCAGGTCACCATACAATGAAGCCCGTTGTGGGTGGGCCCTACTCACCCACTCAGAACTTCCTATCAGCTCTTGTTGAAAGAAATTGAAAATGTATCATTCATGTTGGTAGAGAGATAAGAGAATACTTTGGTGAAAGAACAGAACACCATTAAAAGGAACAGAGGACAAAGGTCTTTTTCTTAAGTTTATTTTGAGAGAGAGAGCACAAGCAGGTGAAGGGCAGAGAGAGAGAATCCCAAGCAGGCCCCACGTTGTCAGCACAGAAACCAATACAAGTCTTGACCCCCATGAACTGCGAGATCATGACCTGAGCAGAAAACAAGAGTCGGACGCCTAATTGACTGAGCCACTCAGGCACCCCTAGAGGACAAAGGTCTTTAAAATGAAGACTATAATAGCAGAACTGAAAAGCTCAGTAGATGGATTGGAGGATGGGGTTGAGTGTATCGAGAAATTAGAGCATAAAGGCAAGAGCTGGAAAATAGAAGGGAAAAGATAAGAAAATTAGAAGACCGGTCCAGGTGCTTCAGCTCCACATCATAGGCATTTCCAAAGAAAACAAAGGAAATGGAAGGCAGAATGTCATCAGTGTAGTAATTCAAGGACCTTTCCCAGAACCGAAGTTTACGAGCCTCAAGACTGAAAGGGTCTGCTCAGTGCCCAGCACAGCAGAAGAAAACAGTCACACTAGGGGACATCATTGTAAAATTTCAGAGCGCTGGGGACCGAGAAGATCTCACAAGCTTCAAGGGAGGAAACACGTAAGTCACATTCAAAGGATCCAGAATTGGGAGTGACTTTGGATTTGTCGCTATTAACACTGCACCTAGAAGCAATGCCTTCACAACTCTGAGCGAAGGTGGTTTTCAACACAGACTGGAAATTATAGACGGATATATGCATAGAAGTTTGGGAGTAGGTAGTGAGAGCTGATCCTCATGGATCATCATAGTAAGTAGGTACTGTTTACTTTGGATAAATTTAGATATAGCGTTATAAGCACATAATATAAAAATATGATAGAACCTACCAGGAGAAATAGCTGAAAAAGTTAAAAGTGCTTGCCTTTACAAGACAAGGTAGAGAGGTTGGTGAGCACGCTGTGGTCAGTGATTGTTGGGTTTCATCATGGGCCTTTTGCTGCCCCGTGATTTCTAAATCTATCTACATGAATTCATTTAATAAAATCTTAAATGTGTTGTCTGTGTTACTTCATTAGGGCTATGGGAGGATCGAATGGAATAGTATGAAAATGGGTTTGTAAATTGTAAACTGTTCCTGAGCTGAAAGTGATAATGTGATCATGTTGACGAAGAGGCAGACTCCTGTCTTGAAGGGCAGGTTGTCCGGGACTTCTGTTTACGCGGAGGTTGGTACGTCATTGTATCAGGTAACTGTAGCCCCAGTAGTGTAGTCACAAAACTTCAGCAGCATGAATAATAAACACTGCATTTTTGCTTGCGAGTCTAGGGTCAGGTTGTGGGCTTGTTGACGTAAGCCAGGTTCAGCTGATCTCACCTGGGCTTGCCCGTGTGCCTGAGCGCGTGGTCTGCGGTTTGGCTGGTGTGGGATGGCCTCAGCCACACAGCCAGTGGTTGGCCATCAGCTGGAGCACCGGCTCTGTCCCGCGTGCTCTGTCCAGCAGGCTGGCCTCGGCTTGTTTTCATGGTGGAGACAGGAGTCCGAAAGAGTGCAGAAGTGTGCAGACCTCAAAGGCCTGGGCTCAGAACTGGCACACTGTCCTATCTGCCACATTCTCTTGTCCAAAGCAAGTCACAAAGAGGGGGAAGGAGATTCCATCCCTTTCTGGCAGGAGCTGCAAATTCACAGTGAAAAGGAACAGTGGAAGCATGGGCTGTCTTTGTCATCGAAGCCAAATGTGTATATATTTTAGGGTAGACATCAGTTCTCTTTATTTATGTATTTTTAAATTTAATTTATTGTCAAATTGGTTAACATACAGTGTATACAGTGTGCTCTTGGTTTTTGGGGTAGATTCCCGTGGTTCATCGCTTCCGTACAACACCCAGTGCTCATCCCAACAAGTGCCTTCCTCAATGCCCATCACTCACTTTCCCCTCCCTCCCACCCCCACATCCACCCTCAGTTTGCTCTCTGTATTTAAGCGTCTCTTATGGTTTGCCTCCCTCCTTCTCTGTAACTATTTTTTTTCCCTTCCCTTCCCCGAAGCCAAATATTTTCATCCATTCACTTGGAAGGGGAACATGGAAGGCCACTAAAGACCTATAATGGAACTTATTTTCTTTTCCTTTGCAGATAATTTAGAAGGGTGTCTGAGTATTCCGTTTAGATCAACAACTTCAAATTCTTAGCATGGAGAACTCTGAGAAGACAGAAGTGGTTCTTCTTGCTTGTGGCTCCTTTAACCCTATCACCAACATGCATCTCCGACTATTTGAGCTGGCCAAGGACTACATGAATGGAACAGGTGGGAATAGTAGCCAAAAGCACTAATAGGGTTCAGGGCACTACCCCAGAATATGGCGCCTTGGCATGTTAGATATTTTAAGCTTGAAGGTTTTGAAAACGTGGCAGAATTGGGAAGGTCACTCTGACCTCCTCCCTACCCTTCTCAGAAGCAGCTCAAAAAATCTTCATGTGAGGGCACCTGGGTGGCTCAGTCAGTTAAGTATCCAACTCGGTTTCCACTCAGGTCATGATCTCAGGGTTGTGGGATCGAGCCCTGCGTCAGGCTCTGTGCTGACAGTGTGGAGCCTTCTTGGGATCCTCTCTCTTGGGATCCTCTCTCTCTCCCTGTCTCTGCCCCTTCCTCACTTGTGCTCATCCACACACTCTTCTCAAAATAAATAAATAAACTTAAAAAAAACCCTACCAAGCAAACAAACAAACCTTTGTGTGGGAGGTGCCCTCCCTCTGCTGGGAGGAAATGAGCATCCTTATTGCTAAAGGCAGATGAATGCCTAGAAGAATCTAAACCAACTAACAGGCTTTGCTAAATTTCCCTGAGTTTTCTAAACGCACCTCATATTCTTTGCCCTGTCACCTTTCCCTACAACTGTCCACTCTTCACCAAACCTGGCATAAAAATACTCAGGTTTAACTTTTCTTGAGGTCTTTTGTTTCTTTGTGAAGGTACCATGTCACATAAGCCGCCTATTAAATAAATTTCTGGTTTTTTCCTGTTTTTCTGTCTTTGTCAGTTTAATTTTCAGACTTAGCCAGGGACCCAAGGAGGTTTGAGGAAAACTGTTTCCTCTCCTACAGAATATGTTTTATCACATAAAGGATCATGTTATATGCTGATAGATAAATCGACAGAGGAGTGCTCAAACTCCCCAGTAATCCACAGAATCAGGGAACCGAGATTTAAAAATGAGGTCTAGTTTGCCCATCACATGGACAAAAATGTTTAAACTTGACAATTTCAAGTATCAGAGGTTGGGGAGAAATGGGCTCTCATATAAACTCTAAGTGAACAGGACCAACTGATTAAGGCTTTTTACAAGGCAATTTGGCAATATCAAATTTAAATTGTGCAGGGGGGTGGGGAGTTTGCGTTGAGTTGGGACAGAGTTTCAGTTGGAGAAAGTGAAAAAGTTCTGGATGCAGATGGTCGTGGCTGCACAGAGATGTGGATGTGCTCAATGCCCCTGAACTGTACACTCAAGGTGGTTAACACAGCGAATTTTACGTCATGCCTGTTTCACCTCATTTATAAATGAGTGAGTGAGTGAGTGAGTGAATGACTGATTGAATGAACCTAAATCCCGCTTTAACACCCTGGAGGGGGTGGGGCTCTGTTATAAAACCATAGTGACGATAATCTTTCCTGTGCACAAAATCTGTCTTGTGGCACTCACTTGAAACCTGACTCTTTACCCAGGAAAATACAAGGTCATCAAAGGCATCATCTCTCCCGTGGGCGATGCATATAAGAAGAAAGGACTCATCTCCGCCCACCACCGAGTCATCATGGCAGAACTCGCCACCAAGAATTCAGAATGGGTGGAAGTGGATACCTGGGAAAGTCTTCAGAAGGAGTGGGTGGAGACGTTGAAGGTGCTGAGGTATTCCTGGCGCGGTCCGGTCTGTGAACTGCGTGCAAATGGGCTGGGGGCATGTTGCCAGGTGTCAGCGCTGCCTGTGTCTGAACGGACGAATTCGCAACCCGTGACCGGGGTTGGGAGGGCGTGCGTGGGCGGTGCTGTCCCCGCGTAAGGTCACGTCTTGGGTGTGGAGCGCGGCGGCAGAGCATGGTGGGTCCTTCGCCTTCGTGTCTTTCCTCCTTTGTCAGATGTCTGCATGCTCCTTACCCTGCGTATCTCTGTGGAGAGAAAACATACACCGAGAAGCCTGCCTGGCCGATCAGTGCCCCGAGTGAGAAAGGCAAAGTCATGAAGACGTTGTTGTCATTAATCTTCTTAAGTATAAAAGAGAGAGGCAGGTGGGGGCCCCTGGGTGGCTCAGTTGGTGAAGCGTCTAACTTCATGATCTCACTGCTCAGGGGTTCGAGCCCCACATCGGGCTCTGTGCTGACTGCTCAGAGCCTGGAGCCTGCTTCAGATCCTGTGTCTCCCTCACTCTCTGCCCCTCCTCCACTCATGCTCTGTCTCTGTCTCTTTCAAAAATAAAGAAACATTAAAAAATTTTTTTAAGAGGCAGGTAATTGAAACAAGAGAGTCCGTGGTGCTTGGTCACGGACAGACCTGACTTTGGGTGCTGCTTCTGTGACGGTGTACGAGGGTTGTCCCAGATCTCTGTGCTCATACCTTTGAAACAGTTCCGGTTAAGGATTCAGAAACTAGAGTGAGCAACAGCTAATTAATTATTATTTAATATTATCTTTCTGGAAAGCCTTTCCCTCCAATGTCTGTTCTTAGAGTTCCGAGCCTTCTGGTTCTGACCATATCACTTAGGGTTTGGACAGGAAATAGAGACCACCCTGAGTGCTTTAAGCAGAAAGGGATTTAGGTGCTCGTGCATTGGTGTCAGAGGGCTGGAGGGGGGATGTCAGGTTTGTTTCAAGGTCATACCTCCTCTAGCTGCGGTGGCCATTCAGGAAGCGGGTCCTGTCCCTGCCCCCGCAAATGCTGGTGTTAAACTGTCCCAGTCTCTTAAAGTTGGTGACTGGATGGTGGAATCCAGAATCTGGCCACTGTGCTCACCACGTAAGAGATTGCTTCTCAGGCTCCATAACCCAGACAGATGGCCTGTGCCTCCCGTCTTTCTTCCAGCTCTCTCTCGAGTGAATCCCATCGGCAGAATCTCTTTCACGTGAGAACCTCTGGGAGGTGTGTCTGGGGGAGGGTAGGACCCCAGGCCCGCAGATGGTATCCAGCACAGCAGCTTATCAAGAGGAGTGGCTTTTCAGGCTTGTCGGGGAGAAGTCTGCCCTCTTCACTGGCCAGAAATTCTCCCTTCAAACCCCAGCCTTCCGCATCCCCGACCTTACCCGGCCCCTCCCTGACCCCACGGCAGCCTTGCTATCCGTTACGTATTAATGCAGCTGCGCAAGAGCGAAGGGAGTTAGGGGCACAGAGAACACCCTTGGCTCCCCGATGGGCAGCTCATGTTACTGGGCTAACTGCACGGTGGTGAAGCATTGGGCGTCTTGCTGCCAATCCAGAACAAGGCTGCACCGTAAGTCCTGCCTGGGGTCCCTTCCCCCTAGGCTTCGGGCACTTGTCCTCTCTAGGGCCTTATCCTTGGCATTGTGGCTCTCCACTTCTAGGTGGAGCCACCTAGTACTCTTCAGTGGTCAGAGTCTGGGCTCTGGAAACAGACCACTGGGGTTCAAATACTGGCTTCACTACCTAGAATCTAAGTGACCTTGGGCAAATTCAAGTTCTCTCTCACTGGGGATAATAAGCAATTCTGATATCATGGTGGCAATAATAGAGTTGCTTTACTTTTTTTTTTTTAAGTTTTATTTATTTAAGTAATCTGGGCACCCAACATGGGGCTCAGACTTACAACCCCAAGATCACGAGTCGCACAGTCTTCTGACTGAGCCAGCCAGGTGCCCCAATAGATTTAATTTATGAAAGCCAAAGCATTTGCTCACTTAGGCTGTTACTGAATGCCTCCTACACCGCAGAGAGTCTGCCAAGAGCTGGAGTTAGAGCTCTAAGCTTTTACTTCCCTCCATTATGGGAATAATACAATAATAATATTTGTGGCACGGGATGTTGAGAAGATTTCACCGAGTGATCCACGCAAAGGACTTAGTGGAATGCTTAGCACATAATAAATAATAAATGTCAACTCTTATTATTATGACACACACATAAAGCTTAGACTAGTACTAGCTGCCATCTGTCGTTCTCCCAGGCTCTCCTTGCTTTCTAATCCTGATCGCCAGTCCCCAAGCACCACTGGCCAGCATCCACGCTGACCCGGCAGTACTGGGTACTGGCCAGCATCCCCTCTGACCGCTAGGCCTCAGGCGTACCTCTGGTTAAATGTCCTTGAATCCACACAGCCTGAGCACTGGGCCAGAGGCTCTGAGGCGGCACCAAGGAGAGAGAGTACTCTTGTTGAATGTTGTGAGAAGAGCAATGTTCTATTGCTTATTGTTTTATAGACACCATCAGGAGAACCTGGAGGCCAGTAGCTGTGATCAGCGGCAGGACTCCCCGAAGCTGGAAAGGCCTGGACGGAAAAGGAAGTGGGCTGAGCAAAGACAAGATTTTAGTCAAAAGGAACTGCTAGAGCCAAAAACGAAAGGTCTGTATGTTTTATCAAGACTTACCGACTGGAGTCTTAATCAAGACAGGGTAAGATTCTAGAGCTGAGCAAGCCCCCTTTGTATTTTCATTTCATGTTCAGGATGCTTGGCTGCCTGGAAAAGGCCCCTTGTTACTTTTGTGATGGGAGGGAGGAGAGGAAGGTGGAGGCACCCTGAGCTTATTTCTCCTTCAGTGGTTCTCAACTTTTGCAGTTTCCTAGATCTCTTCTGAGAATCTGATTTGGATCGAAACGATAAACCCTCTGGCCAGAAAAACACATAGATGTGTTCATTTTGACGCAGGGATTTATTGGCAAAGCAGACCCTGAAGCTGTGTTTTCTTCTTCCCAGACGTGCCAAAGGTAAAGCTGCTGTGTGGGGCAGATTTATTGGAGTCCTTCGGCATTCCCAATCTGTGGAAAAGCGAGGATATCACACGAATTGTAGAAGACTATGGGCTCGTATGTATTACTCGGGCTGGGAACGATGCTGAGAAATTCATCTATGAGTCTGACACACTGTGGAAACACCGGAACAACATTCACCTGGTAAATGAATGGATCACCAATGACATCTCCTCCACAAAGATCCGGCGAGCCCTCAGAAGGGGCCAGAGCATTCGCTACTTGGTGCCAGACCTTGTCCAGGAGTATATCGAAAAGCATGATCTGTACAGTCCTGAGAGTGAGGAGAGGAACGTGGGCGTCATTCTGGCTCCGTTGCAGAAAAATGCTGCTGGAGCAAACTCGTGACTCCTGCGCTTTGGACATGCCTGTTGGGGGTGTGAAGCGGTCCGGGTGTTAGTGACCGTGAAGAGGAATTGTGACCCTGTTTCCTAAACTAACGCTTTTTAAAAGTTCGGTAAAAATCACCAATACGTGAAAATAAGGCTTATCTTTTTTTTTTTTTTGGTGTAGTGCTTTTTAAAAAAAAAAGTTTATTTATTTGGAGAGCGAGCGAGTGGGTAAAGGGCAGAGAGAGAGAATCCCAAGCAGGCTCCTCACTGTCAGCACAGAGCCCAGCGTGGAGTTCAGTTCTGTGAACTGTGAGATCATGACCTGAGCCAAAATCAGGAGTCAGATGCTCAACTGACTGAGCCGCCCAGGTGCTCCCAGGTTTATCTTTTTATTGGAAATTGCTAAAATGAATGTTTTCAAGATGGTCTTTTTTTTTTTTTTTTTAAAGAATGTACAAATCCTTTAATCTTTAAAACAAGGGATTAGCAGCACTAAAGCCAGAAGACGCTCAATTACACTGACTACACTTAAGTCAGAAAGGACCCCTCTGGTTTACCATGGAAAATGAGCAAAGTGGGAAGAGCAGGAGTCCACTTAAACCCTACCTTCAGTTATAAGGGGAGTTCACATTTTATGCAGGCCCGTGTCTAGGCCTTCTTCACCGAGGGTGGCCAAGGAAACAATTCTTAAAGTAGTGATCATGTAAAATGCACCGCTGGTCAGTCACCTTCAGCTACGTGGGATGCAGGTGGTGAGTGTGCCTGGCAGAAACTTTACGAACGGTTCTGTCTCCCTGGCACACATCAGAAATGGGCCGATTCAGCTTTGCCAAGATGCACCTCGCTGGAGCTCACCTTCAGCGGCTGGGAGAGAGGTCCAAGCTCTCAGATACTCAGAAGGGTGCACAGGGGCTTCTGATGCCCGCCAGAGGCAGAGAACAGTCTGGGCAAGGGAATCGCATCCCGTTTCATAACTAAAGCTTACAAGTTTGGTACAAATCAGTCACAAACTAAAAAGTTGCACATGACGGGTGTTCTCTTAGCACAGCGTCTCGTGGCTCTGTCTGCCGTCTTGCCATCTGTGCAGGAACAGCCTCAGAGATGCCATCATGCTGCCGGGCCAGAGAGGACCACAGAGCATGAGGCCTCTCGTTCAAGGATTTTATGAAGTATCAGGCCTAGTAGCCTTTCCTGACAGCTTGAAAACCAGAAGATGAGCAGAGGTCCTAAGAGCATGAGAACTGCCTCACTGAGTCAGCTCAGTAGCTCTCCCGGCTCAGAGCCTCAGAAGAACGCTCCACGACCTCACTCTAAAATTCTCTCTCTATTGAGCTTCTCAAGGGTCCCGCTCTTCCCGCTCCTGCCCACCGTGAACCTGCCATGTGTGAATTTACGCGGTAAAAGGGTCTACGTTCTCACACTTCTCTCATCCTTCTGTATGGACTTTAACCAAAATAGAACTCCCAAATAATAGTCAAGGTCATAGTTTTTATGTTAAGATGCAAGCTTGTTATAGATAGTTTGATGCATTAAAATTTTGTGGAAATGTTACCAATTAGTAAAGCAAAAAAGACCAGAAATCGCTTTCATAGTTTCATGTTGCATGAAAATCATCCTGATAGAGAGTTGAACTTCTGATGCCAGTAAAATAATTTACCTTTTTTGCAATTTATATTTCATACCTACACCATTCTAGATGAAAGATTAATAATCCTGCCAAAGAGAAGAAATATAGCTGTGTGGTTGTACAGTCAAATCAGAATCCACAGTTTCAAAAGGGAAAATGTTAAAGCTGGCAAACGAATACAATCTTTAAAAGAAGAAAAGAGAAGGTGAGAGCGCCTGGCTGGCTCAGCAATCAGAAGAACGTGTGACTTTTGATCTCTGAGTTGTGAGTTCGAACCCCATGTTGGGTATAGAGATTCCTTAAAATCTTTTTTTTTTTTTTTAATATTTATTGATTTATTTTGAGAGAGAGAGAATCCCAAGCAGCCTTCACACTGTCAGCACAGAGCCCAGTGCAAGCCTTGATCTAATGAAACATGATATCACGACCTGAGCTGAAATCAAGAGTTGGCTGCTTACCCAACTGAGCTACCCAGGTGCCCCCCCAAAATAAAACCTTTAAAAAAAAATCCTGGCAAATGTACCCTACATCTACTGACTTATTCTTTTTTTTTTTTTTTTTTTTTTTTTTTTCCTTTTTAAGAGAAAAAGGGCAAGGGGGAGGAGAGGTGCAGAGGGAGAACGACAATCCCAAGCAGGCTCCACGCTCAGCATGGAGCCCATCGTGGGGATTGATCCCTCCATCCTGGGATCACGACCCAAGCCGAAATGAAGAGCTGGACCCTCAACTGACTAAGCCATCCAGCCTCCCCTGACTTCTTCTTACTAAAGCCAACAGGCCCCCTTCACAAAGACCAGGAGGGGTGCGGAGCTTGGCACCAGTAGGTTTCAGTCTCTCTCTGCTGAAGGAGTCATGGGTGAGAATCTCAGATGGTAGAGATGAAGGTCATTTCTTCCCCTCCTTACCTTTTTGGAGGTGAGAGTTGAAGCAGTACTGAAAACCACCTAGGAGCTAGACGAAGCTGCCGAAATGAAGTTTAGATTTTTTCTCCTGGAAAACTACATTTAGTCCATGTGATGAGGGTACCAACTGCAGAAGGCTTCCGTTGCCAGAAACTTCTCTTTTATTTTGTAGAAACTTCTCTTACACCGTGGTGCCTTCCTACCTTGAAGTGCCCACCCTGCTCAGCTGTGGGTATACTGACCTCATGACCCACTGGATAAAAATAAAGCGTTTGGGAACCCCCAGGAGACTCGGTGATAGTGAAACGCTCCTATTTTCATGCTGTTTGTGAATCGGTACCTTTGTACTCAGGACATGCTGCTCCGCCTTTTGTCCTCGTACCAGAGATGCTGCTAATGCCACAGCGTAATAGCACAGTTTGGGGTGACCTCAGGGGCAGAATTTCCTGTTTTGATGATGGAAACTAGAACAATGCACTTCACCAGGGAATAAATATTAATAATTGCTGTGACTTCCATTGAGGAAGAGAGAAAAACACTACTGTATTTCCTATCATGCCTTTTTCGTAATTTGCTTTTGTAATGTGCATTTTGAGTTTGGGAAATCTGTAAAGCTGGTATTGTTGTGTTTGACGCTGGTGTTCTTTATGTGTCATGTTCCTTTATCCCTCAACGTTGTATAATTTGAATGCAGCAAATGAACAAAAGTCCTTTACTGGCTGCTTCATTCAGCTGAATACACAACATATGGAGGGATTTTGTTGTTTTCCTGCTGAGGGGACAAGGGTGATGAGTGGGTTCTCCTTGATGATCAAGGTAGAGACTGAGCCAGAGGGATGACTTCGGGTCATCTGCTCGACCAAAGGGTGCTCCTTCTCTTCTCGCCATCCCAAGGGCCCCCCATGGGGGGTGGGAGGGGAGGAAGCATTTCCTCGAGGTCGGCATGCATGGTAGTGGTAGGATTGCTGTTTTTCTGACCGCAACCTCTGATTCACTTCTGTCCGAGCCCAGAGGTCGCTATATTGTGAAACGGGCTCCCTTAACATTTACTTCTGGGTGTCACAGGACGTCCCCTCCCCCACCTTGCTCCTCCTCGCTCCCGCAGGCCTCACCGTCTAAAACACCCTCCATGGCATCCACCCAGCGGTGAGGATGTCCAGTGTCTGTCTCTGAATCTGTACCTAGTCTATCAGATGAACTAGTGCCGTTTGAACTTCATAATGCCAACACTTATTGAGCACTTACTGTGTGCTGGGTGTCTGTGAGTCCTAAAGAAACTCGGCACAAGTAGGTACCGTGTAAATGACAAACCCAAGGCTTGAATGAACAGTATCTTTACGGCTTGTGTGACACATAGGTTTATCTATTTATTTTGAGAGAGAGAGAAAAAGCCCTGCATGGTTAGTGCAGAACCTGACTCAGGGCTCGAACCCATGAACTGCGAGATCATCATCTGAGCCCAAATCAACTGGGACACCCAGGTGCCCTGTAACATACTGTTCTTCAAAGAATGAAGTTGTAGCCAAATCTTTTTTTAATTATTATTAATGTTTGTTTATTTTTGAGAGAGAGACAGAGTGCAAGCTGGGGAGGGGCAGAGAGGGAGGGAGGCTCTGAGCTGTCAGCACAGAGCCCAGTGGCGGGGCTCGAACCCTTGAACCATGAGATCGTGACCAGAGCCAAAGTCAGACACTTAACCAACTGAGCCACCCGGGCACTCCTGTACCACAACTTCTTTATCCTTTCGTCAGTCAATGGACGTTTGGGCTCTTTCCATACTTTGGTTATTGTTGATAGCGCTGCTATAAACATTGGGGCGCGTGTGCCCGTTCGAATCAGCACCCCTGTATCCTTTGGATAAATTCCTAGTAGTGCAATTGCTGGGTCGCGGGGTAGCTCTATTTCTAATCTGAGGAACCTCCACACTGTTCTCGAGCGCGGCCGGCCCAGTTTGCATTCCCACCAGCCATGCATGAGGGTTCCCTTTTGTCCACATCCTTGCCAGCATCTGTTGTTGCCTGAGTTGTTCATTTTAGCGCAGTTCACTCTTAATCAGAGAGAAAGACAAGAGAGAGAAGAAGCTCAGATGCCCAGTTCAGTACCGTAACGCCACCCTGTAGCACTGTCGCCTGCAAGACCGAGCAGAAGCTTCTGTCCCTGAGGTGGGTTTCAGCACCAGACACGCCAGGCAGCTGAGCGGGGCAGGGAGGGGGCCACGGACTCTCAGAATCTCGTTCTGTAAAATAATGCAGTGATCTCTGGGGACTGTCCAGCTCTGAAATGCGATGGACCTGGTGGAGAGCTGACACTGTCCTCTCACCACCCAGCTGCCACCTGTGACTTCTCTTGTGCGTGACCAGGAAGCATTTCTGGGAACGCTGTTAAGACGTGAAGGGCCGAGGGGAGCACACAAGCCCAAGACCATCTCTGCCACCAGGTTGCCTACAGTTAGGAGAGAGACAAGACTATGTTTTGAGCATCAGCAAGGAACTCTCCAGAACTGCTTCTGCTGGTTTCCTCAGAACGAGCCCCCTCGGGCCCTGCGGGACAGGAAGCCAGGATGGAGGACGCTCCAGGGGGCTTCTCATACGATAAATTATTTGTCATTTATCTGAAGTTCAAGGAGTCCTATTTCTGTTCTGCTTTCTAGGCTTTTCTTTTTCCAACGTGAGCAA